AACAAAATAAGAAAAACTTTTTTTTTTCTTTTTCCTATTAAATTCTTTCAATTATTTGTACTCCTTTAGGTCCTATGTGAATCAGTTTCGGCGAAAAATTATAAAAACTACGAATCATGCATTGAATCATTCAATGAAATAACAGTGGAAAAATTAAAAAATTCAAATGCTGAAGATTTATGCAAAGAACAAAAAATTTGTCCAATTAATTATAAAAAAGGTAAAATTTAAATTTTTGAAAATAATTGTAACACTTTTTCTTTTTTTTTTTTCCTTCTTTATCTTTTAAAAATTTTAATTATTTCTTGCATTCATTTTGTTCAACTCAAAATGTACGATGAAAATAAATGCACAACAGGTCAAAGAGAAATGAGAATTTTTAATTAATTGTTTTAAATTGAAACAACAATACACTCATTCAAACAGTAATAACAGAAAAGAAAAACGGAAATACTTTTTTAATTGAACTTAAATTACTAATTTTTAATTCCATAAAGAAAAAGAATCCTATTTGATATTATTATTTTTATTAATAGTATTTAAGTGGAGAATTTTAAGAAAAAAAATAAATTTTAAATTAATATATTTGTTTTTCTATTTTTATAAAAAAAGACAATTTGTTTAAAACTAGTTTGCTTTAAAAAAATATAAAAGTGAAAAAGGAAAAAAAAAAAACATTTAGTATTTTTTAAACTAGTATTGTACATTTTTTGAGGTTAAATAATTAGAATGATAGGTCAAGAAAGAGGAAAATTAAGGTCATTACTGATAAGGCAGCACAGCTGACAATATATTTAAGCTTTATTCTTATCTCTCTCTCTCTCTCTCTTTCCCTCTCTCTCCCTCTCTCTCCCTCTCTCTCCCTCTTTCTTTTACTCTTTGAATTGCAGCAATGTATTTGTAAACATAAAAAGTTGATGTCATTTGATTAGATAGAGAACAGTTGACACAGGAATTGTGATAAATGATTATGGAATCTTTTCATCCTTTTTCATTCATTCTCTTATTTTTTTTCTTTCTCTTTCTTTTCTCTCTTTCTGTCATTCTTGAATTTTCTTTTTCTTTTTATTTAAAAAATTTTTTTTAATACAAAATTTCTTTAAGCAAAAATTTTTATCAATATAAAATTTATTTTTATGTTTAAAATTAAGCATTGATTTTATATGAAACAAGAAAAGATATTATTATTATTATTATTATTTGCTATACAGAACTATGTGTTAAAAGAAATAAAATTTAGATAAAAAAATTTTATTTGATAATTTTAAATTTTAATAGATTTATGAGAAAATAATATACGAATAAGAAATAAGAGATATTCTATTTAATTTAACAAAGAACGAAATACAAATACAAATACATATATCAGTAACTAAAGCTAATAAAATTATGACATTTGTCTAAAATTTCAAATTTATTTCCATCAAATGACAGAATATTGATTTATTAATAGATAAATTGATATTAATAATTTATTACTTTCCTTTTCTCACACTTTTCCTTCTTTTTTCGCATATGTTTACAACAAAACTTTGATCTTTAAACAAAAAAAAAAAGTTTTTTTTTTCTAATTTGTAACTATTTTGAATATTTATTAACATTAAAATCAAATATATTAGATAATTTTGATAAATATTTAATATGGAAGGATGGAAAAAAAGAGAAAAGGAAAGTAAAAAATAATGGATGAATTATTTGTGCAAAATATTAGAAGTAATCAATTTTCAAAAATATTAAGATTAAAATACTTTTGAAAATGTTTATAAAATATTTTAATTGCCAATTATCACTTTGAATTTGATTTGAAAAACAAAATTAAATAATTAATACTAGATAAAAGTGATTTAATTGTAATTTCAGCAAAATATTTCAAATAATTAAAAAGTTATTTTTTAATAATATTTGATTAATTTCAATTATTTTCTTTCTTTCTCTCTCTCTCTCTCTCTTTTTTTTCATTTTTTATTTCAGTAATATTAGTGGCAAATACCGGTAAAGCTGATTTTCCAACTATACCGGTGGTAACAAATGAGCAATTGAAAGAAGCACAACAATATGATACACTGAAAACTGTCACCGATATTTTGAGTGGAAATTTAAAGAATTCAAATGGAAAGAATTTAACACTTCATATTGATTTGCAATTTCAAAAATTGCAACCTGACGAAATGGCAACAACAGCAAATTATTCAACGATGCAATCAAATAGCACCTAATTGATGTATGTATATGTGAAATGAAAACGATTCTTGTTTCACTTTTTCCTTTTTTTTTTTTAATTTTAAATAAAATAAATTGAACCATCAATTTTTTTTTAAACTTCATTAATGCTATATTGTTAATTTAATCACTTATACTCTCTATTTTGTAAGCAAATTCAAATGTAAATTATACAAAATGCCTTAGAAGCAAGCAATAAAGTTTTTTTTAAAAAAAATAAGAAAATAAAATAAAATAAAGTAGAAATTGCAGTTTAATATTGTTTCTAGCTACACAGAAGTGTTAATTTTTGATTTTTTTTTTATTTTTTTAAAGTTAATTTTTAAATTTTTAATTATTAAAGGAGAAAAAAAATGAAGCTGCATCTAAATGCATGGATAATATATAATAATTTAATACATTTAAATTAATAATTAAATTCAATTTTTCTTGTTATTGTTGTATTCTTAATTAGCATTTAACAAAATTATCATTAATCAGTAACAAAAGTAATATTTTTTTTAACTCTTTTTTGATTTTGAAAATTTATTTTCGTTAATTTTTGAGCTTATCTTTTTTTTTTTCTTTTTTTGTAATATTTTTAGACATTTTCTGCATTCTTTTTCCTTTGTTTTTGTTTTGTTTCGTTTTTTCCTTTTGTGTTAAATTTTTTGTTTGCATAAAAGAATAAAAGAAATGTGTTTTTTTTTTTCTCATAATTATTGCAAATCAGTTCTAATATTATAAATTTTTAAATTTAAAGCCATCAACAAATTCATGAACAAAAAAAAAAAAATGGAAAAATATAAAATAAAATGAAAAATTAGAAGTCAAGGAAAGAAACTTGAAAATTTTCCTGTCAGATTTATTAATCAAAATATAACAAATAGGACTGGATTATAGCTTTAAATTTTGATCATTTTTTACAATTAAAATAGTTGAAGATAAAACTTTCTGAATTTTGAAACTTAAAAAAAAATAAATGTTTTCAACTTACTAAAGTATTACTTAATTCATTTAGCAATTAATATAAGTAAAATTTTAAGAACAACTGAAAGAGACGAAAGTATTTTGAAAAGAACGTATTGCTTTTACACATGCATGTATGTAACGCGAGACGAAACGTAAACTGAGCGTAGGCGTAAACGTAAAAAGGAAAAAAGTGAACGTGAACGTAAAAAACTAAACCGTAAACACGTCACGGATGCAATTTGTTCGATATGCAAAAATTAAATTGAAATTGCTGTAAATAAAATTATCAATAATATATTTAAAAAAGTAATTATTGTATGAATAAACATTCATAACAACAACAAATAATTTCTTCAATTCATATTTATCAATTTTTTCAATTTAAAATTTTATAAAAAGCAAATAAAAGATTGAAGAGAAATACATATTTGAATAGTAAATGTTGCAGAATTGTTATTTGTGTTTCTATTTGGTATATTTGAAATGAAATTATAAAAGAAAGAAAGTAATTGGCAATAATTTGATATAATTTAACACAGTTAAAGCGATATTAATTAATTATTCATTGAATCAAATTAATCAATCAATCAGTAAGTTATTAATTAACATTTTGAATTTATTTATTTCAAAAAATAGCACAATTTGATTATTTATTTTAACATAAAATTTTTTCATTTTTATTACAAATAACTAAATTGACAGTATAATATTTTATATAATTCTTTTTTTTTTAGTTTAACTTTTGCAACATGAAATAATCTGATCCAATTATTGTTTACATTGTGTTTTAAATTCTAATATATTATTTTTTTTTATTAAACAATAAAATAAAAGAATTTCAATAGTTGCAATAAATTTCATTAATTTTTTATCATTTAATCTTAAAAATGCATATTGTAAAAAATTAGTGGAAAATTTGTAATTGTTTAAAAAATTTTCCCGCAATTTATATAATTTTGAACTTTGACTTAGATCTATCGTATTTTTTTGATTTACTTTTATCTCACTGATATGCTTCTTATCAATTTTTCAATTGATCTATTCCCAGTAATGCTTTGAGATGCATACAGCAATTTCTTCATTTATAATCATTCTCAATCATGATTACTTCTTCTATATACTTTCTATTTTTATGTTATTAATTATCGACTATCAACTTTAAAGTAAAATATTAAACTTTGAATATCTTAAAGAAAAACTTTTATATAAATTTTTATTGGTCATTTTTGCCTGTGGCTTTTAATTCAATTAATTCTAATTGTTTCTCACATCAAAAGGGAAAAAATAAATCTTTCATTACATTATTTTTTACAAATAAATGTAAAACTTTTTCTAAAGAATAAAAATAAATACATGTCTAATTGATTATTTAATTACAGCAAGATTTTGATGAATTATAAAAATAAATCATTAGATTATTGAATATTTAATAATTTGATTATTAATTATTATTATTGATTATCGAATATTATTGAACATTTACTATTAATTTTTTTATTTAATTTTTTTTTTTTTGTTATGATTGAAAATTAATTTCATGAATTATATTAGATCTTCTAAATTTTGTGACAAATAAACATGAATTTGATGATTACTGATAAATGTCTCATGGCATTTGATTACTGATAAACTTTAACTAGTCATTTTAACTTGAATTTTAATTCATTTAATTGTAATTTTTTATTTGTTATAGTATTTGTTGACTATATAATTTTAATTCAAGTTACTCATTTTTTTATTTCCGATATTAGTTTTGATAGCTATGATTTTTTTATCAATTATAGCATTTGATTCGCTTATCATTTATCACTTATCATATCAATAACACTATGGCATGTTGGATAGTGACACTGCAAGGTGGTCCAAAACGAGCGACACAAGCAGCGGTTGCCTTAAATGATAAGATTTATGCATTTGGTAGTTGCTGGTGTACTGAACCTGCCGAAACCTTTGGTGTACACGTTTTAAATACTAGTTTGTTTCTGAATTTCTAATTTTTTTTTTTTTTTTTCATTTTTATCTGATTTTAAAACAAATTAATTTTTATCCCAAAAAAAAAATTTTTTTTTAATAATTAAACTACTTTTACATTAATTGAATTATAATCAATATTATAAATCAAATATTTATATATAAATTTGCTTAAGTTTTTTTTTTCGTTCATCTTTTTCATATAATTACTTCTCAAAATTTTATTGCTAACTAATAATGTTTCTATTTTTTCAAAGTAAAAAAAAAAATTTCATTGTATTTTTAGTTTTTGACAGATTGATTAAAGAATTTTGTAACTTTTTTATAAAAAAATAAGAAAAATAAATGAAGAGAAATGATGTAATACAAATAAATAATATATGTGAGAAAAATTTATTTAAAATTTAATGGGTAAATTTTATTTAGATATGTAAAAATGATTTTAATTCTTTGTAAAATAATACGAGCTGAAGTTGATAAAAAATTTCGACTTCAAATTATATTAATTAATAAATTGTAACAAATATTATAAGCTATCTCTAAATAATTCCATTCTTCCATTTTTCCCTCTTTTCCTCTCTCTCTCTTTATCATTAACATAAAAATTCCCTTAAATGAATAATAATTTTTTTTTATTATTTCATATTAATTATTTAAATTAATAATCATATTTAATTTTATTTTCTTTTTTATTTAACATTTTAATTTTTAATTTTTTCTTTTTGAATTAAATTAAAAATTTGCAATTTCTATTATTACTATAGCTATTTTGTATTTTAGTTGATTATCGTTGGCAACGAGTACCAACACGATTATTTCAACCAAATCCATCACAACAATTTATCGATGATTCAGGACAAATTTATGAGCCATATGGTGAAAGTCCAGTTCATCGAGTTGGTCATAGTGTTGTTGAATATAAGGGTAAAATTTATTTGTGGGGCGGTTTTTGTCATGAGATAGGAGTGCTATGCTCAAAGATGTATTGCTTTGATCCAGGTAATTTCTTTTCTCTCTCTCTCTCTCTCTCTCTCTAAAAAATTCTTTTATGCATATAATTTTAATAAATATTCTTTCAAAATTTTGAGAAAGAAAAAATTATTCTTTTTATTTAATTAATTAATAATAGTTTAATATAGGGTAAAAAAGAAAAAGTTATAATTTTCTTTTTATCTTGCTTACTATTGAGTTATTTAAAAAATAAAATATTTGAATGAAATTTTAACATTAACGACTAAAAAAAAAAAAATTTGTACATATAATGTGAGAAAAGGGGAAAAAAACGAATATTGGTAATAGGAATATGATAAAAAAAAGATTAAAATTTGAAATTCGTTTTTCAAGTATTTAAGTATTATTTTAAGAAGAGCGAACTTGGTCAGTAATTCCATGTGCTAGTAGCGAAGCAACCGGACGTGAAAAGCATACAGCTGTGGTATTTAATGATATGATGATTGTGTATGGCGGTTCTGAAGATCAGCAACCAAGATAATTAATTAATTAATTAATTAATTGAGAATTAATAATTGTTATAGTATGTAATATATGAGAATAAAGATGGTAAAAAGTTGAAAATTAAAAATGATAACAAATTTATAATAATTAAATTATTGTTTGTTTGTTTTTTTGTTTCATTTTTCAGCATTCAAATAATTTTTCTATTTTTAGATTACACAATAATGTTTGGATATATAATTTTAAAAGAAGGATATGGTTTAATATGATTGTATATGTAAGCTACTATTACTAAATATAAAAAAAAATAATATACATAAAAAAATTATGAAAATAAAAGTAATACAAAACTAATTACAGAAATAATAATATAAATTTATTCTTTCCTTCTTATTTTGTTTTTTTACAAATTTTAACAATTTGAAAATTTAAATTATATAATAAATAAATGATATGCTATAAAATTTTTTCATTATTTCTAAAAGTTTTTTCAAAAAAAAAAAATTGAAAATATAAATTGAATACAGGGTGATATACCACGAGCACGAATGAATCATACAGCATGTGTCATTGATGATAAGATGTATGTCTTTGGTGGCGTTGACTTCTTACATCAAGAATTATACCTGAATGTGTTGGATTTACGACATTGTTACTGGGAGACACCGGATGTCACCGGTGAAAGACCGTATGGATTAGTAGATGCATGCTGCTGTAAATTGTTTTGAAAAATTTGTTTAATTTGAAAAGTTTTAATAAATTATATTAAAATATTCATTTAAGATTTTTTCTTTTGGTTAAAAAAAATCTCTTTTTTTCTTTAAATGATAAATTTATGTATTTTAATTCTTAAAATAATAAAACTAATTGCTTTTATTGACTATTTTGTGAACTTAAATTCGTTTTTTTTTTTTTGGATTTGGAAATGGATAAGAAATTTTTTTTTTTACAAATTGTTAAGTTAAATTGTAATAAAATTATATCTTAATAAAAAATTATCTTAATGAAATATATAAACAAAGGAATATCTTAATAAAATTTATATCATTTATAGGGGTATATAAGAAGCAAATGTATATATTTGCTGGTTGTCGACATGAAGATGATCGATATATACCGGGACTCTTTCGATATGATCCGGAAATATCGGTATGGCGTAAAATGCATCCATTTGGTTTGAAAGGTCCAAGCGGACGACAGCGCCATTGTGGTGTGATCGTTGGTGATTGCGCTTATGTATTTTGTGGTCTCGCGTAAGGATTCTTTAAATTAAAAATTAAAAAAATTATAAACTTATCAAACTTTTAATTTATTGCAATATTAATCATATAATACATATAATAATTCATAAATGAAAATCAGTTGATTACATAATTATTTATTAAATATTAATGCCAAAAATATTTGAATTATATTTTATTTTACAACAAAAAATGAAAATAAATAACAATAGAGATATTTCTGAAATTAATTATATAATTTAAAGCTATGAAATAAGTGCAATACAGTTGTAATGTTTGACTTAAATATGCATTTCATATATTAATTGAAATTAAAAACTGTATATTTTTAAATTATTGCTGTAATTTTTCTTTTTCGTATAAAAAATTTGATTATTATCAATTTTAGACAACTAATTTCCTATAATGAAATGCTTGGCTTTGGTTGTTTACTGGAAATGTGTGATCTCAATGTCCTTAATTTCAGTTAGTTTTGAAATAATTATTTTAAAGAAAAAAATAAATAAATAATTTTTTTCAATATTTTGTCAACATTTATTTCATTGCTTATAAAAAATGAAAAATTTTTTCTTAAATTTTAACATAAGTTTTTAATTCATCAATTTTTCATTTTATAGATTGGAAATTGAAAGATCTTGCAGCAATTGCCGTATTACGATATCAATTACCTAGAACAAGTTATAATCTTCCACTTGAATTAAGGTTAATTTTAATTTATTATTTATTAATTTTTTTGTTCTTTTATTAAATAATTTATTACTTATTTTTCTCTTAAACTTTTGATGCATCGAATATTTTGTGGTATATTAAAAAGAAAAAGAAAATAAAAAGATTGAAAGCTCACAAATGCTATAACTTTTTTTAAAAAAAAATTTTACATTTATTTTAATAATATAATAGAAAAAAAGCATTTATATTCAACCAAATTATTTAAATTATTTTAGAATTCATCTTGATATGATGACAACACCGAATCATGTTTTATGAGTGTAATATGCTTAACGACGAAACATTTGAATGAATTAAATTCAATTTTTCATCCATCTTTTTTTACTTTTTTTATTGACAGTCATTCGTTCCTTTTTTTCTTTTGAAAAAAAAAATTGTTTTCATTCCAATTTTCATTTATTTTATTCGTTTTTGCTTTTATTAAATTTCATATTTTCAACTTTCACAACTACAAAAAATTTTATCAAAAAATATTATTTATTCTAATTGAGAAAACAAAAAGAAAAAAAAAAATTACCAAACATTTACAATTATAATTTATCACAATTAAAAAATTTCTCTTTTTCTTCTCTTATCAACCTCTCTCTCTCTCTCTCTCTCTCTCTCTCTCTTTCATATGACAATTTGACAACCATTTTTTCACTTAAAAAAAAGAAAAGAAAACTCATCAAATTTATACCTCATACATAGTGATATGTTCATAATTTTTTCTGTTCAATTATGAAAATATCTGTAATTTTGATGACATTTTGAATTTTATCCAAATTAATTTTATTTTTTTCTTTGAATAAAATTACTAAATTAATCTATCATTTATACTTCTGCAAAATGCTTTCCTTTTTTTTTTTTTTCTTTCTGCTATGCTTCAAATTTGTGCCACAATGTTTTTCCTTTTTCTGTTTTGAAATTTATTTCTACAATGTTAAATTTTTATATTTACAAAGGAATAAAAATCATTGCAAGCAAATTCAACAAATGTTTTTTGTTTTTTTTTGGCTTTTTTCTTCCGTGGTAATTTGTCTATTACACGTAAAATACGTGAGGAATAATTACGCGCAAAACAAACGTAAAAAATTTTAAAGCATGTTTATGAATTTTTTCATGCTAAAAAAGAAATTGTAAATTATTTGAAATTGTAAATTAAGAGAAAATTTATTAAAAATTCTATTCAAATAGCAATGTAATAATGCAATGTAATTTAAATAAAAAAAGTTCAAAAAAAAATTTGAAAAAAGTACAATGTTATCATATAATATGGCTTAAAAAAAATTAAGAAAAAATTTAGGAAAATTTTAGAAATATTATTTAAAAATTTTGAGAATTGTTGCTTTTTCCTAATTCAGAAATACAGTGCCATTAAATTTATCATATCATATCCAATGATAAATCATTTAGAAATATTTAATGCTAACGCTATCATTCCAAATTGTTTATCACGGAATGATCCAAAGATTGTCAACAACAACAGTAATAATACAATAACTAGTATTTAATAAAAAAAGTTTGCAAATTTTCAAATTTGTCATATTTCAATAAATGATAAGAAATTAGCGATAGGAATTGATAATAGTTTTTTTTTTATCTGACTTAATAAATTGCAATATATTTATGACAACTATAATTATATAAAATAAATAAATTCATCCATCGAGAATAAAATTTTTTAAAATAATTTTTTTTTTTTTGATGTATTATGATAATAGCAATATTAACAATAAGAAAATTTCATTTTATTAAATGAAATTAAAAACACTTTATTTAATTCAGAAGTGGAATTTTACAATAAACTATTAAAAGTCATATAATAAAAATTTATTTATGTCACATAGCAATTTTATACTATTTTATGTCATTTAATTATAAACAAAAAGTATTTATTATTTCATTTTGCCAACATATTGAAATGTTATCACTTTGATGAAAAAAAAAAAATTTAAAAAAGAAATGGTATTGATAAATCATCCAACTTATCACATCTTTGTTTATTTGATTATAATTCAATTTAAATAAAAAAATATTTTAAAGCACTGATAAAGTTTTAATTAAATATTTCTGCAAAAAAAACTGAATTTATTCACCGAAATTGATGTAAACAATTACTTTATTCTTGTTTTTTGTTTATTTTTTTCTTATATTCTTTGTACTTATTATTTATTTAGTTGATAGTGTAAAAACTGCATTTTTATTGCTCTGTTAAAAATTTTAATTAATGTTTTGAATTATATTAATCAAAAATAACATATTATTAAGATTGTTATTTTCTTTTTTAATCTTTTAAGATATCTATTTCAGTAATTTCAAAAAGTAAACATTTATTGTAATCATTAGAAAATGATTTATGAATCAAACATAACATTCATCAATGTTTCAATTCTTCTCATACACATTTCAGAAATTAGTGATTAAAAAGAAAAAAATGATTGATGAAAAAGACTAATATAAAATTATGCATAGATGACAAATTGATTAAAATTGAATTTAATGTAATTATTATGATCGACTTTTGAAAAGTTGAATTATTAAGTAATGTAGTATATGCAATATGAATAAATGCATAAGTAATACTTAAAAATGAAACAACAAAAAATTATAGATGATATTCTTACAATGATTTATCAGTAATCATTTTATAATATGCATAAATTTCGAACTGATAATCTGATCGATTGAAATATTGCTAATCATTCCATAATTTCAAATATCAGTAATTGAGTCAAAAAGAAATTGTATAAAAAGGAAAAAAACAAAAAAGGCAGAGATTTCAGAGAAAGAAATGCATATAAATAAAATATGTAAATATTTACGAAAATACAAGAAATAATTAATCATAATGCAAAGAAATAAATAATTTCGTATTTGTTCAAAAATTTTAAAACAATGCTATATGAATCAGTGAGTAAGAATAGCAACAATAATAATAGAAATAATAATAATGGCAACAATAATAATGGAAACAATAATAATGACAACAATGATAATAATGATAACAGTAATACAAGAAATGAAAAATGACTATTTTAGCAATGATCAAATGATGTAAAATATTATTTAAAAAAAAAAAAAATTCACGAAAAAAATATAAAAAAAAATTCACGTCACATAATTAGGTGTAAGTCTCATGCTAATATCATATCTGAAATTTGAAATGAATACATAATCAAATTTGTTAGTAAATTGTTGATGCTTAATTTTGATGATAAAATTAAAAATAAACAGTGGAAAATAATAACAGCTTGCTGATTTTTTGTAACGATCAAATAATAATTGAAATGTGTTTTTAAATAAATTTAAAATGATTTAAGCCATATTTTTCCATAAAGTTTAAAATATTTCAGAAAGAATTTAGATTATTTGATTCATCTAAAATTGAATGCATTTCAAACTTTTTATAATTAAATATTTTATCATGCATTAGATTAATTAAGCTACAGCAAAAGCATGGAAAAATGTGAAAAATAAGAGAAGAATGTAAGATAAACTTACTTTATCCAAAATGGAAGTATATTAAAAAGATCGTTACTTATTCCATTTTTCAATAATGAAATGATGCAAAGATCTTCCAATTTAAAATCTGTAATTTTTATTTTCAATAATCACTGAGATTTCTTAATGAATTTATTATTGAATTTTAACTTGGCAAATGTTAGGTAAAAATTGATAGCTTTAGTAATATTACAAAATCACAAACAAATATTATGGTGTTGACAAAGCTTATAAAAAATTAATTAGTTAAATAATACATCTTTGTAAAAAAGAAAATTTAATTGCTAAAGGTAGTGAGACTTATTTATTGGAAAAAAAAATTAAAGCTAAATGAGGAGTTAATTGATAAAATTAATAACTAGACTAATTAATTAATAACATTATCAAATCTCAACAAATTTACCGCATTAAAAAATGAAATATAAAAGCAAAAATAAAATGTAAAATTAGTTTAAAGTTTGATTAATAACCATAACAAAATATAAATTCTCATTTCTTAAATTTATTTATTAATTAAACAAAGAATAATTAATTAATTTTATACCACCTAATCAAATTTTAGCATTATTATTAAATTTTAATATGATTTATTATGAGATAATATAATACTAATTAAAAGGATCATAAAAAATTATGCATTTGTTACAGAATTTAACTAACCGTAATCAAGAACATGAAGATCAGCTATTTCTCTGACCAATTGCGCATCAGCAGCAATACTGGGAGGTAAATTAAATTCAGCCACTGACCTTAAATGATATTATAAAGTAATGTCAGATGATGTTGTTCTCATTTAGTACTATTTTTAATTTGAAAAATATTTTTAAAAAAATTAAAAAAGAAAGTAACCACTTCATTTTACAATAAAAAAAAACAATGTAAATAACAATTTAAGCATGAATCTTATGATAAAATAATGATCATATACTAATAATAATAATAAATAATAAGCTGTAGTATACATATTATGGTAAAATAATTTTAATAATAATTTATAGTATTAAAAACTTACTGAATTATTAGTTTAAAAGTTATTGTTCATTTGTTGTTACAATAAATTAATAATTTTAATAATTGCTTTACTGTAAGTAAACATTTTTCAAGAATAATCTTGATAATAATAATCTACAATACACGTTAGTAATATTAATAATTCAAAATACAAAGTAATCTTGGAAATAATTCATAATATATTTCTTAAGAAATAATAATAATAATCTTTGATGATAAAATGGAAAAAAGAAGCAGAAGAAATATCAATAATTATCAAATATTTAATATTTAAACAATAATTTGTATAATATTTATTAAAATAATAAACTCAAATGAAAAATAATTTTATTAATTAATAAATTTTAATATTATGCAGCTAATACTATGCATTAATTACAAAACAATTAGTAATTAAGTTGGAAAAGTAACAATTACTATTATAATAAAGTAATAATCTATCGTATATGCATGATTCTTTTTTTAAATAAAAGATAAATTTACCATTAGTTATTAATTATTGAGTTAAAAAAAAATTAAATCATTCTAAAATAATTATTTATCATTTAAAAAGAAAAAAAAATGATAAGCACACCCCAAACCACCAAATATAAAGACACGATCATTAACAATAACAGAACAGTGTCGTTGTCTTGGTATCGGCCGATTTAAGCCATATTGTTGCAGAAGACGCCATCGGGAAGTTTCGGGATTAAATTGATGAAGTGTATTTAAATGCTGATAATGATCATGTTGATAACCACCAAAGATATACAACATCCCTTGATGAACCCCTCAAATATTACTAATTATTTCAATTTTTAATTTTTTTTTCATAATTAATTAATTAATTTAAATTACGACTAAATTTTAAATTAAGAATTAACAAATCATTACATGTTTTAAACTATATTAATTCCTAGGATTAAAAAAAAAAGGAAAATTACATGTTTTCAAAAGTTTTTGATTCAAACAAACTAAATTTACAGCTTATCATAATTGTTTACTTTTATTTTTGAAAATTTCTTTCCTTTTATATGAATTTACAAAATGATTTATTGTTTATTAAAATAGATAATAAACAATAAATCAGTAAATAAAAAGTATAAAACATACAAGCGGAATGATTTCGACGTCCACATGGAATATCACCGGTTTCTTCCGGTTTTTCCCAGCGACCTGTTTCTAAATTTAATACATCCAAGCCTAAATCATTCACAAAATCATTCTTACCACCAAATACATACATTTTTCTGCTAATTATGCATGCTGTATGAAATTCTCGTCCGTTTGCTGGCATTTCACCCTGAAGTAATCAATAAATTTAATTGAGAAAGTAGAATTTATTGTTCGCGATTAGATTTCCAATGAATGGAATATATTAAAAATGAATTGTTATTGCTACTTTTCATCTAATTATATGTAATTAGTTGGATAATTAATTAAACTTAGTTAAAAATTTACACATTTTCAATAATTAGTTCAATAATAAACTAAAATTTAATTAGCATTTTAAATTGCATAAAAAAACTCACTTCAATAATCATTTCGTACCATCTATTTTGTGTAAAATTATACGCAAAAACAGTTTCCGGAAAACTGAAAAAGTTTTTTTTTTTTTTCATTTTTTCATTCTTCCCATTCTTTCTTCATTATTCGTTTATTATTTATGCATTTTTTTCAGCTTGTTCCATCAATTATTTTATACAAAAAATAAAATTACATGGAAAAAAATTCAACACAAATTTGTTTTAAATTAAAATTAATTTGCTCAATAATTATTTTGTCAAAATAATTTGTTATAATTAATAAGCATTTGGAAAGTAAAATTTTTGAGCAAAACAAAACCAAAACGATCAATTATTTCTCATATGGTATTTAGAAAATAATATTATTAAAAATTTACTGAATTTTTAAAAAAAAATTTTTATTCAGAAACTACTCTTGCACTTATATCTTTTTCAGTTATAGTAAAAATATTAAATTAAAATATAATTAAATAATTAAAATAAAATCAGAAGAAACAAAGAAAAGTTAAAACAAAATAAATAAATGAATAAAACGATATACTTTGTTAAATTATTTTCACGTCCGCCATAAATGATCATCATATCATTAAAAACAACTGCTGTATGCCTTGTACGACCAATTGGTACTTGACCAATGCATGGAATTACTGACCAAATTCCTTCTTCTAAAAAATTTTTAAAACAAATTTTCTCTCAAATTAATAAAATATTCTGCCCAAAGAAAAAAAAAAAAACGAAAGCATAAAGAAAACAAAAAAGTTATTTAAATTAATTTCAAAAACAAAAAAAAAGAAAAGAAAAAATTATTTTTTCAACTTTACTTTTAATAAAACTTAATCGTTAACATAAAAAAAAAAGCAAACAACATAAATAAAAAGAAAAAAAAATGCCAAATTAATTCAATTATGAAAATAATAACATCCATTGTTGTTCCTTTTTTGTTTTTCAATTTAAGATTACCTTTTAAATAAACAAAATTCTAATTAATATTGGCAATTACTTTTTTTTTTGGAAAAAATAATTTATAAAAAAAGAAAAAAGGAAATATACCTGGATCAAAACAAAACATTTTTGTACAACAAATTAAATCTTCGGTGCATCCACCCCACATATAAAATTTTCTATTGTACATTACAACAGTATGATTAATTCGATAATGTGGAGTTTCATTATAAGCCACCAAATTCTCATGCGTATCATTATTATCATTATCGTCATCAATGTCAATATCGTTATCATTATCATTGTCACTACCGTTATTATTATGATTGCTACTGCCACTATCATTACCATTATCTCTGTCACCATCATTATTATTATCTCTGGCACCATCGTTACCACTATCATTATCATTGGCAATATCACCATCACTATCATTATCATTATCATTGTTATCAGCATTTCTTGCAGCTTGATTCCGATGTACTTCTGCATAACGTTCTAATGGCAAATATAAGCAACTGCTTGATGTTGCTAATAATTGATGCCAACGATAGGATTCTGAAATTAAAAATGAAGAAATTTAAAATAAATAAATTAAAATTTTTTTGCTTCATCTCATTTTATTTTTGGAATTTTAATAATATTGAGTGGTTTTCTTACTATTGTCATTAATTTTTTATGATTTTATCATTTTTTTTTTAGAAAATTTTTACTATTTAAGTAATTTTTTTTAGTGCTAAGAATTGTGTAGTGTTTTAGAATCTACAAATGACAAATAAATTTGTGAGAAAATTGAAATCATTGTTATATTAAAGTTTTAAGAATAAGAAAATTTTTGTATTTTGTAATCTTAATACTTACAGGCATTTATTTTTTTTAAGTTTTATTTTTCTTTTGAATTTTTTTATTAAAAAAAAAAGTTAGGCATATAACATAGAATGAAGTTTCTGATATATTAATATGTCTGAAATATGCAATTTCAATAAATTTAATGTGAAATTAATCGATTACTATCTATTCGTTACGTAAGAGTAATAAATATAAACAATCAATTCATAGTGCAAACAAATGAAAACATATTTATGAGTAGAAAAACTTGAAGTAATATAATTTGAAATTTTTAAAGTACAAAATTTAAACTTCTGCAAAATTTTAAAATACATCTTCTAAATAAGCAAAATTACATAATTGAGTTACGTTTGAATGTGTGTATTTTAAAATGTTACTTGTGTCAGAGCAAAAAAAAAAAAATCGTTTCATTTTAAAAATAAACCTTAGTAATAGAATTAATGTATTAATGTTAGTTCAAAGTTTAAATAAGCATGAAAAAGCTTGTCTAATTATACGTATGCAAATAGAAATAATCAGGAAAACCGGAACATACCGGTATTCAGAACATGTATACCAAATACCGGACTACGAGATGACTCATCGGCATAATCAAATTCTCCAAATGAGTAAATCCTACAGCCTAATGCAGCGGCAGCTTGATTAGCTCGTTTTGGACCACCTTTTAATGAGACTGTCCAATATGCCATTGATTTGAGGTGCAGAAATTTTCTAAATTTTTTTTTCACTTAAAATAAATTCATAAAATATTTGATAATAACCAATTAAAATTATAAGAAATTACACGCATAAACATTTATGCATCAGAAAAAAAAAACAAAAAAATTTAAAATAATTGAATTAAACTTCTTATAATTAAGATATTAAAAAATAAATTAAGTTTAGCAGAACTGCATTACATAATAATATGATAATAATTTTAGATAAAACTACATTACATAATTATTTGATAATTATATCATCAAAGAAGTTTCATTTTAATTATTCCATGTTTAACAAAAAGTAGCAGTAATACTAATTAAATTAAAGCTATGCAAAGTACCAATTCAAAACTCAAAAGTTTCTGTTCTACGATTTTTTCTGAATTCAATCAAAATAATTTGCTTATCAATATTATTTGCATTTGAAAAAATGAACTTTGTAAAAACTCCAATATTACATTTGTCCATTTTAAAAATTAAAATTAAACAATAACATTTTGTCAAACAATTAAGTATTGCTTACAATAATAACATAATTAGTACGGAAAAAGAATTTTTTAAACAAATAAATTTATTTATTTTTTTCTTTTTAAAATGATAATATGCATGCAATTTTTCATTCTGCTAAAATGTTTTTATGATATAAAATTGTTCGAATTTTGCATATTGTTTCTAAAAAACAATTATATTGAATTTTCTAGCAATCAAACTTGGATAATACTTTTTTCATTTAGAACAATTTTTCAAGAATCCATAAATTAATTTTAAAAAAAAGGCAAATTAAAATAAAACATTTGAAGAAAAATAGAAATAATTTACTAATACCTTCTTTTTTTTGAATTTATAGTCAAAAAATTAGTAAAAAATGATGCAAATAATTCAGCAAAATAACTGTCTCCTAAAAAATGACGAAAAATAAGTATGAAAATAGCAGTAAATCAAAATGTATATGCAATGATATGTGACAAATTATTCAATATAAAAGTACCGGGAAGAGATCAGTTATAATTATTAGACTAAAATTAACATATCTACATAATTATACCAATATGTAAAGAAAAAAGGAAAAAAAAATGCCAAAGTTTAATAAAATTTAGCATTTCATATAATGCAATTTCATTTTATCCATAAATTTTATAAAAATTAGTTATATGTATGAAATTAATGATGCAAATTTAATTTTTCAAATTTGTAATAATGAAATATTTTAGAATGGCAAAAAGTATGGATGGATATGAAAGAAAAAAAAAACTATTTTTTTTATCATAAATGATTAGAAAAAGAAAAGAAATAAAAAAGTATGCAATATTTTATGAAATTTATTCCTTCTTCAATCATTTCACATATAAATTATTATTTAATTTTTACAGTAAGGAAAAAGTGGAATAATATTCCATTTCTGATTAATTTTTCATATCTTTATACTTACTAAGTTTATTATTATTTAGCTTTAGTTAATTAATCCCTAAACTAATTATTGTTTTATGATAAATTCCGTTTGCAAAATATCAGATCAATGTATAATATTAACCATAAAACTATAATAATTTTGATTTAATTTATCTGTAAAAGAACTATTTTGGATTTTTTCAATTGATCCTCTAAATTTTAAATCTAAGTTGGATCAAAAAATTAAATCTACAATGTACTATAACTGCTAATATTTATTTTATCTATCTTTATGTAGTCGATTATTTATAAAAAAAAAAAAAAAAAAAAAACAATATTTTTTTATTTAAAATTATTTATATTAAAATTATGCCAATACTACCAAACTTTTTTTAAAAAAATCCCGGAAAAAAATTGAAATATTGCAGAACGATTGTTGATTACAAGATTTCTAATATTGATCTATTACCGGGAAAATTTGAATAAACTGATATGCTATCATAGTTCATTTGATTATCAATGATTCTTCTTTTGTGCTTTCTCTTTCTTTTTTGTTAATTTTTATTTACAAATTGCATTACCAATTAAAGTAACAATAAATTTTCCACTAAATTTATTTGAATTAAAAAAATTTTTTTTCAATAATGTAACAAAATTTTTTCTTTTTCCATTCTTTGATAAAAATTTGACATATAATTCTGATGCATCATTGATAAATTTTAAAAACACTGATTTCATTTCAATTTTATTTTTGCTTAAATAATTTTATTAATTAGCATAATTAGCCAACATAGCACAAAATATCATGCGTTAAGCAAAAAACTTGGAAAAAACATCAAAGTAAGAAAAAAAGATAAAAAGTAAAAAACGAAAATTTATTTTTACCTAAAAAAATTTTGTTGGTTTACTTTTATAATTTCTTAAAGTTTTAATTTGTAAATTTTTTCAATTATTCATTAATTCGTCATATTTTTACTTTTACATTTAATATTTTTTGATTTTAAATTTAAAAATTACTATTTAAAAATTTATATTTAATTATATGAATAATTTAGAGAATAAATTTGACGTCTTTACTAACATTTAGATAGGATCTCATCATGGTATGTTGGACAATTTTTGTTGAAGGTGGCCCAACTGTCTCTAATCAATGTGCGGTAGCAATTGGCAAAAAGATTTATTCTATTGGCGAATATTTGCCACCTGAAAATTGTGATCCAAATGCTAAATTATTTGGTATAAGTATTCTTAATACTGGTTTGTTTATTTTAATATTCTATCTTTTTTTCTCTCAAAGTTTTCACTTAAAAATTTAATAATTGATAAAATTTATTGTTAACAATCTTTTAATTTCTTTTGCACCATTTATCGTAAATAATGAAATATTTTTTAAATAATAAATAAAAACCAAACACTTCAATTTATTTTTTTCTTTCTACAGTTTATTAATTTTATTTAATGAAATGAATGAATATGTATCGTCAATGTCAAATAAAAATTTTATACGTTTCATCTAATTTAATACGTAAATTATTTTCAATTAGATCCAATGAATGCATCAACGTGAAGTTAAAAATTTATCACGTCTTATCTAATTGGAACGTAAATTATTTCTCATCGAATTCGACAAATATTACAATTAATTATTACATTACACGAATATGTTATATTACAAATAAAATCATTTTGGTATTACATAATTAAATATTTAAAGAAGAAAGACAATAATTTTAAATATTATTTTTTCTTTTTACTTTTTTTTTTTTTTGAAACGATTTATTATTTTTGAGATCATTATCGTTGGCATCAAATATCTGTACCATATCGTAATGGTATTTATCTTCCAAGAAAATATTACAATCGAACATATTATCCATTACCATTATCACTTGAGCCAAATGATCCATTGGTAGCATTCGGCGAAATACCAAGTCGATCAATTGGCCATACTGTTGTAGCATATGAAAGGAAAATTTTTTTGTGGGGTGGATTTCAGGTTTCAAGAAGAACAACTCATCAACTATTCTGCTATGATACAGGTATTTCAATTATATCTTATATGAAATTTTAATTTAATAAATATAAAACATAAATAAAAAATCTTAATAAATAATAAACAAAATATAAATAAATTTGATAGACAAAATAAATAATAAATAAATGAAAAATAAACAAATATATTAATAAATAAAAATATAAAAATTTATTAGAATTATTTAACTAATAATTAGATAAGAATAAAAGAGAAGAAATTTTCCTAAATATTTCTAAATTATTTTTTATTTTAATTAAAAAAAATTTAATGATTGTGTCTTTTTTTTTATTTAAAATTTCTTTATTTTTTTTTAGAAAGACATATTTGGACAACCGTTTCATGTACTAATGCTCCACCACTACCACGTTTTGGACATACCGCAGTTGTGTACAATGATATGATGATTATATTTGGTGGAATCGATCAAAATTTTTCGTAAAATTTGAAAAAAAATTATTTCCAAGGATTTTTCATTTATTTATTTATTTTTTTTTTTATTTTTTTTGATTTTCTTATTTTTTAGTACTATCAAACGAAATTTTAACATCGATTAATCGTTTTTTTCTTTTCTTCACAAATAAAATTAATACATTTTACTTATAAATAAAATATATGAATTAGTTGTTTTACAAATTATTTTTTGAATTATTTTACAAAAAAACAAATTAATAATGCGAAGAACAATTTTTTTTTCTTTTTGTTTTGATAAAATTTAAGTTTAACAATTTAGGGAACAAAAAATATCAAAACAAATATTTAAAGAATTTGAAAATTTTTTTTAGTACACCAGATCATATTGATGTATTTAATTTCAAAAGTCAAAAATGGATTAAATGGAGTGTAACGGTAAGTGTTATAATTTATTTGAATTATTTTGTTTTCTCAAATTATTCCATTTTTTAATTATAATTACTAATAAATAAAATTAAATTTTTCTCTTTTTTTTCTGGGATTTATTTCTTTTTGTTATATTTGCAAATATTCGTCTTATTCCATTTTCTTTTTTAAATGATTATTGGAATTTTTAACAGAATTAATTATGCGCAAAATTGAAATTTTATTTATAATTTAGGGTAAATTGCCAGAGGCACGGGAATTTCATACAGCTTGTGTAATTGGCAATAAAATGTATATATTTGGTGGGGTTGGTGTGCCAATGTATGAATTACAAATAAGCTTTTTAAATTTGGAGACACGTCATTGGGAGCAACAAAATGTCACAGGTGTCATACCATGTGGGCGGAAAAATCATTCTGCTTGTAAGTGCTTTTTCCGCTTTTCTCTTTTGCTTTTTTTTGAAGAAGAAAAAGTGATGATTGCATAAAAGAACTAATATTGATTTAAGAACTTTTTAAATTATATCTTGTTTTTTTTTTTTTTTTCAATAACTTAATTTATATACGTAGGTATGTCAAGTTTAAATTTTTGATAAATTTATTTTTTATATATGGTGTTTTGTTAATTTGAGAATATAAATGTTTTTTCTAAAATGAAAATGAAATGAATTACTCAATGATAAGTTAAAGGAAATAATGATTTGTTGATATGAATGATAGGTATTTAGGGGTCTATCGTGATAAGATGTATATATTTGGTGGTTGTTTGCAAGATGAAAGTTATCATTTTGGTACAATTCATGAATTTGATCCAAAAACATCGGTGTGGCGTCGATTAAAACCAGGTGGTTTGGTTGGTCCATGTAATCGACAGGAACAACAGGTTGCTGTTATTGGTAATCGTGTCTTCATATTTGGTGGCTTAGCGTATGTTTTAGTAAAATTTTAATATAAAAAAAAAATTTGAACTATTTTTTTTGTTTGTCAAATGAAAAATTACTATGCTAATGTTGAAAGATTTGAAAAAAATAAATGAAATTTGCATATTAGTTAAATATTTATATATGCAAATAAGTTTAATGAAAGTATAAATTCTGTTTTTTGTTTTTTATTTTTCTTTAGATATGAAAATATAATTTTAGTTCATACAATAATTTACCCAATGCATTTGTTAGGATATCTGATCTTAATGTTCTTGATTATGGTAAGTTTTCTAATCTGTTATCAATTTATTATCATTTAAGAAAATATAACAACAAATTAAAAGAAAAAAAAAAAAACATATGCGTTTCTTTTTCGCAAGCTTTTAAAATGTCATAAAATTATTGCAAGAATCAATAAAAGAAGGATAATAAAAATAAAAGGATAATGAAAGTCAATAAACGAAGGATAATAAAAATGTATATTGCAGAGAAAAAATTAATTAAAATTAAAAAAAAAATTAATTAAAAAGTGATTTTATAGATTGGAAGTTAAAAGATCTTGCTATTATTACTTTGTTATATCAAAAAGTATTTGATATATCAGTTTGCGACTATATATTACCCAGTGATTTAAAGTAAATTTATTTCATTTCAATAATTTCAATAAAATTTTTGTGTTTTTTGAAATGTAATTTTTTTTTCAATTTTCGCTGCTCTTTCATAAATTAAACTTCACTGATACATATACCTTTCACAATTTTCTTCTGTGAAAGCTAAAATAATTACCAATTATGAATTGGTACTAAAGAAATTAACAAATAATTGACATATAATAAAGAAATGAAAATAATAGATCAAAAGTTTGCCTCAAAATTTCTTTACCCTAATTTTATTTAACACAAATTGATATTGATTTAAATCTTAAAAATATTCCATTACTTTTATAACTTTTATTTCCGCTAATCAAATATAGTTGTATTTAAATTTTAGATTCGAAGTTTCCATGCGATTATTACGGAATCCAATAATGTGAATTGCTAGTAATTGCTTGAAGTGAAATTTCTCAAATTCCTTTCATTCAAAGTGCTTTATTAAAAAAAAAAAAACCTTTTTCTACTTTTTTTTTTTAAAAAAAAGAATATTACTGAATTTTTTGGATTTTTATTAAAAAAAAAGAGAGATATTGTTGAACATTTTTTTTTTATTAAATTTAAAATTCTTTTAGCATTTCTTTTTTAATACAGCACATTCATACGATTGTTTATGTTTCATTCATTTATATTTTTCAATAAATTTTCAACATCATTTCATTTCTAATATCATTGATATGAATATCTTATATCATATGTTATTACCTATGTTAAATCTTCTCGTTGCAGTCAATCTTTAAATTTAACGTCAAAACTTTTTAAATTTCATATAATGAATGATAATTAAACAGTACTCTCTCTTCTGCTGAAATAATGCACAATTTTCCCATACCTAATCTTTGATATTTTAATAAAATCACAAGTTTAATCCCATCATGGTATACAGATATAACCTAAAATTATCCTTTTTTATTGTTAATGCGTTTACAGTAAAGCTCAATCAAAGGACAATTACACTTATTAATAATAAACTTCTAAATGACATCATCACCAATATTCACTGTTCAATTATAATTTCTGGATCTATTCATTTTTAGGAATCTTCCTTAAAACTTTTATATGTTTCGGAAAACAATGATTTAAACTTTCTTTCAGTTGACTAATTTGTATTTCCTAATGCATACTTAATGCCATTTTGAAAATGATTATAATGAATTACGATTTTAATTATTTAAAAAAGTAATATAGAAATCATTTATTCATCAGAATTTCATTTGCAAACATCACGGTATTTCGTCAAATTTATTTCGGATGTGAAATTTCACTGGAATAATCACAATGAAGAAATCATAATGCAAAATGCCCCACATAAATGAATTAAAGAGAGAGAAATTAATTCAACCATCTATTTTCTTGCTGCTTACTACAAATCAACATTAGTTTGAAGATAAATCACTGAAGAAAACTTCCATATTGATTCATGCTGAAAAGAACTGATTTTCGTGCCAACTTCATATATTATAAAAAAAGTGAATACCCATTATATAATGTATACACATTATAAAAATGAAATAAAGCGATACAAGTAAGACAGAGAATATGAAAGACAATAATGAATGCATTGAGATCTACGAAGAAAATTTTCAGATACTGTATTATACGTGGGCATAACAAGGTCATAACCTCGATTATTTTTGCTGTATTGAATTATTGACAATTAATATTAATTAAAATATAAACAAAAAAAGCATTAATCACAATCATTTTAAATTTCCGCAGCTTGATGATTTGCATCGACGATTACTATGAAATCATTTGTGCTACCTGCTTTTTCTGCTAACCATTCAGACAAGCTGGCTATAATGATTCAAATTGAAACAAACTGATGTTCAGTTAATATTGGATGATTCAAAAAATGAGAAGCTAACCAATTCAGATGATTCAAAATACTGACAAATGTACTACATAAATCAGCATTTCAAGGAATGATCCAATGACAAAGTATTGGTTTTAGGTGATCAGAAATAGCTCTGAATTCTTGGCACTTTATTCCTTACTTATAATTTCGCGCATAAACAATAGTTTACATTTGCATAAATTCACTTACCATAGCGATGCAAATCTTTGAAATGACAAATGAAATTTTTCCTTTCACTTCGGCTGCCAATATTCTTTTCATCCATATTGTCGTATAAATAACGCACGAGATATATCAACCACATCACATTTGTGATAGAACAGAACGGAAACCAATTGTTCCTATTTAATAATTTTGAAATAACAAATAAATTTGCCACGGCTTCTTTAAGTTCTTCAAGTATTTAATAAATATATAAAGTACCTTCTGAGTTAGAGTTTGGGAAGATTTGATAAGAAAAGTAGACCAATATTCAAAAAACTAACTAATATTTTAAGAAGGTATAAAGAATATTCAAAACCCAACGTTTCTTATAGTACCGCGGGTTAAAGAGATTCAAAAAGAAAATTTCCTACTTGTTTACCGCACGCATCGCTCGATAGATCTCATATTGTAAACAGTCCTCGCCTGTGAATAATTCATCATCTTTTGCCAAATCAAAAAAAATCGTTGACGTTCCTGGAATTCATCCACTTTCTAGACCAATAATTCGCTTTCAGAACTGAGATTTAAAAAGAGTCTGAGAAATTCAATAAGAAGTTCAGATCAATGCATTTGTGATCCTTAGAAAATCCCCTTAAAATCTGAAACATAAAAATTCATGTTATAGACTTTATCGTTCTTTTTTTTTTTTTTTTTTTTAAAAAAAAAAAACCTTTAGACATTCTGGACAGAGTAAAGTCGATAATTTTCACTTCAACACCATATGTAGGAATGCTAACTTCATAACCATTATAATTTGCTCTGAAAATATCACTTTTTTTTGTCTTTTTTTTTTTGCAAAAAATTCAAATTAAAATGTAACATGAATTTAGACAAAATATTTCATGATTAATATGAAAACATACTTAACAGCATTATCAGACTGAACACTTCGGATGAGAATATTGCCACAATGCAGATCACGATGTTCAAACGAAAGTCGATATTCTGCTACAGAAAGTGTCAAAAGGACTTGGTAAATAATGCTGTACGCTTGCAAAACATTAGAAATCTGCAAAATCAGTCTTACTGTAACTTTTTTTTTTTTCATTTATGACCTTTTAGATTAATAATTTCTACAACAAATGCTTTTTTGTTGAGAAATTAAAAATATTTGGATATACTATTAAAAAAAAACAATATTATATACTACTTCTCCTTTTATTCTTACCACTGCTGCGCAGCGGTACGTTATTCAGAGTACATTTTTATTGAAAAAATCAAGTTAGAAACAAATACCATATATTTTTCCAAGTCAATTCCACCATCTTCAAAAGCTAGAAGTAAAAAATGTTGATTAGAGCTAAAAATGCACGGATGATCATTTTCGGACTTCATGCGTTCATCGTATTGCTGCCATGCATTAATTAAAGATCTTGGGTAGGACCCTGGAAAATTGTATTCAAAAAATAAATAAAGGCGATTGCTTAATTATAAAATATACTATATACATCAGTATTTATTATAGTTTTAAGACACCTTTGACTACCATAGCTCCTCTAAGATGAATGAAGCCCTGAGTGGAATGCCCTTCCTCGATGTATTTTAAGTCTGATAATTCTTTTGAAACTATTAGCTCTGCGCTAATGTCGCGAAATGACTTCTGCTTGTCTCCATTAATCATTTTGGTACCACCAACTGGGATCACCTAAACATAAACATCAGGACAATCAAAAGAATATGAAAGAAAAGAAATGAATAGCTTGACAAATAATCTTAAACCATACCTTTAACGCAACGATTTCCCCTTTGTAACTGACTCGAAACACTTCGCCGAATGTTCCTTCTCCAAGCTTTACCGGACTCGATAAATCACTAAAATTAATTTTAGAGTAGTAATTGAACATAACAATATGATAGTCACCAAGTGACATCCTCAACAATTATACTAACAGAAATATTACACTTACAGTACTGTTTTTTTAAGTCGCCAAGACTGAATATTTTTTTGCATGCAAAGATGAAAAAGTTCTTGCTTGTAGTCACGTCTTCTAGCATACTGAGCTGTCCACGGAAAGCCATTTAAATAGAATGGTCTATTTTCCTTCAAAAAATGAGTTGTGTATTTATTCCCTTCGATGTGTAAAAAGAAAAAAAAAAATTCCTTCATTTTGGACAAAAAAATTAAGATTTCATTCCAGTTTCCGGTTTCATAACTGCAATTTTTTAATAAATGCAGTGATACGAGAAATGAATAAATTGAGTAAAAGTAGAAAATATACCCCATTTCCATCACATAGCGACAAGCTCCTATCACCTGAAAATTTGCAAATTATTTTTTTCCAGAAAAACCATGAATTTGCAAAAAATTGCAAATCTTCGATATGAATGATACTATAGTAATGCAACGAGTGGCTAATTTCTTCGCTATTGAGAATTATTAAAAAGACAATATTTTGTTTTAACCTGTTGAATGCATGAGTTCCAAATAAAATTTTTTTTTAGACCCTATTACGTCCATCTGGGTCCTTCTGATTCTTACATCTAAACAGATCACACTTTTCTCCAAATTTCTCTTCTAATCTGTTTCAAAAAAATACAAAAAATCACTGCTGATTTGATATTAAAGTTGTTACGGGGAAATTACCTTGAACAGATGACGTAACATTTTCACACACGTATTCCTGAAAGGATTTAAATGTAGTAATCTCAGACGCTCAACAGAAATGTTTGATAATTCATTTTAATCCCGTTAAAAGATTATTATCCGATTTTTAACCTAATCATGATATTTTATATTAACAAGGATGCTTATTTTATTTTATATTAACAAGGATGCTTATTTAAGCAGGAGAGATGCTTATTTTATTGTCTGCTTAATTTGAAGCGAAAGTTGAGTATGAAAGTGATAATATTTACTTCATTTTGAAATCCCCAGCGACCAGGTGAGTTAAGAATCGTAAGCTGAGGGGACGACTTCTGAAGCGTTGTTGAAATCCCTGTGCTAAACTGATTACGACCATTAGTTTCTACACCTGATTTTCCTTCTACGTCATTTCCATCAGAACTAAATTTTGACAGATCTTTAACCATGGTATGTTATGAGAAAAAGGAAACATTATGAAAATGAAAAAAAAAAAAAAAAAAGCATAAGAAATCAATTTACTGTAAGCAGGTTGCTGGTGCTTCCTTTTCAATAACATCACAGCCAGTATCTTCTCTGTCAAGAAGTATTGGACTCAATTGTATATCTCTGTCAAAATTAAGCATGTCATGATGAGGATGCGGTGTATGTGTGGATCGGAAGACCTAAATAATTGAAAAACTGTATCATTCAAATTTTTAAAATGAATAAATTTCCATCTGAATGAACTAAAAAACATACGTGAAGAGGAGTTGACGTAATTGGCTCAGATGGATGAACAATGAAGATCAAAGGTGATCCTGTAACTTCAGCGTGATTTATGTCTTCATTTTTATTCAGAGATAAACCAACAGAATGCTTTCGCTTGTCAGAATTGTCCTTAGTCACATCATTTTCTTCTACCAGTTTGCTGCAAGTTTTCTCAAATTCTGCAAATAGCTCCATTTTTTCATAGAAAAATTATCAAATAAAACAATTGGCCAGGAATATTAACACCGAAACATAGTTAATTTTATTCAGTTTTGACTGTTTTCAGTTTCTCATCAATCTCATTACTTTTTCCTAATTCTCCTTTATTATTTATTTACTCATTTTATTTTGAATCACCTGTAAGTTAAATATTCAGACGTGAAAATTAATGAAGCACATCTTAGCTTAGTGCGCACATAATAGAAGATAAATTTAATGAAGTAAATAGAAAGAGAAATGAAAATTTCTGGAACTCATATAAAAATTATAAAACACTGGCAACTTGATATGCTACCTGAAGGCTTGGAGTAATTACCAGAAAATTTTTTCGCTGCAAATTTGGTTATCTCTGACAAGTTGATACCTAAAATAAAACAATCTAAAAAGATTACGTTTACCATGAACAATTCATTTAAAATTATATGTTGGAAAAATACTTCACCAAGAACTGAATTCTGTTTTGCACGAAGGAAATAAAAAGATATTAGCGAGATGTTTATCAAAAACAGAATTTTTTAGGAAATAAGCCTTTAGGTTCTAGCGTATTTATTATGTAATTGAAAATGATGATATCAGGTAACCAAATTATTAAAACCGAACATTCCATATCACTTACGATCTCTGCTTAGTTTGCTATTATCACGCTCAACGATGAGTTCATATTCTTCAGCCTCTTTAATCTGGAAAATTTTTTTCAATCATTTATTACTTCCGACCTACTCAATAAAATGATATATCCCTGGTCACATGAACAGAGCTGAAAATATGAAATGACCAAATCTCTTTAGGACTTCATACTTTTAGCCTTATTCATGTCCATGTCTTCCACTATCTTCGTCATATGTTTCAACAAAAAACTTCATGAATATTATACCATATGTATTTAATTTCTGACCTAAAATCCTTTTATAACTTTTTTTCGGATGAAACAGTACTAACAAAAGATGACAGTTCGATCGTCATTCTGACGCTTTCTAAATGATTAATACCACATTTATTTGGTTAGATATCACAAAATTACGATACAAACTTCATTGAGCAGACGTTGATATTCGAGGTCTTCTGCACTAATATTTGTTCGATCAATGGGCTTAGCACGACGATGTCTTTCCTTTTTTTTCATTTTGCGTGAGCAAGGTTGCAAAAAATCCCGTTCTTGATCCAATACATCATTCAATACACTACTGAGTATAGCTGTACGTCGAAATAAAGGATGTGCTTTAGCACACTGTAAAAAAATTACCGCACATTCGATGACAGCTAGTGAATAAGAAATCAAAACTAATCTTATGATATGACAATATATCCATGGAATATATTATTCAGTACTCGTCAACTGGTCAATAAAAATGTAAATAAAAGTCATCATAAAAATGTAAATAAAAATTCATTTCATTTCTATTCGATATTATAAACTAATTGGGAAATTAACCAAGGTCTAACAATTTTGAATTAATAAATATGGGCACTAAAATATCTCTAGATCTTTATTAGTTACAAATTATCCCGGATGATACTGATAAAAGTATTTTTAATCCATAAGTACTAGTTAAGCTATTTCTTAATACCACCTCAATCTTCAACTAAATTGTTAGTCAAAAGCACACTATTAAACAACGCTTACTTGTTTCAAGATGGTTTTATCCAGCCCATCAACAAACGTTGCATTTCCTTTAGACATAAAACGTTTTCGAACCATTTTGTTACCTTTGAAAAAAAAAAAAAAAATTCAAAATAATTAAATAAAAAATATAGAACTGATGATCGCCACAGTTAAATATAAGATTAGTTGATATCAATAAAAATCACCATAAACGAGATGAAGCGAAACTAAACCAATCAAATCAATGGAAGATCGCAACAATGAACCGAAATAGCAATAAATCCCACTGTAAAACAAAAAGACAAAATTTCCATAAACTTTTTTTTTTAGATCATCTATTCTTAGATCAGAACAGTATTCCAATATAACGTGAATATGTGGAAACGAATAGCATAGGTAATACTAATTTTCCCTGAACATATGGTGAAATTACGCTAAATAAATCATTCAGATCTAAATCAGATTAAGAGGTCATTTTTATCAATATCAGAACTAGATAAATTACTCCTATCAATAACGGAACTAAAAGAAATTACTATCAATATTTTTATCAGTATCGAGAATCATTACTTAGCACCATCCAAATTTTTTTTTTTTTAAATCAAATCTTTTTTAAATCTCTTTCTTAGTAATAATTATTACAAACAGCTAGCAAAACACCGCCAGTTCAATAATTAAGTTTATAATAAAAACATTATTTCAATACTATATAATGATTATAATTATTTGAAATGTTGAAATTACAAGGAAAAATTTTCAGAATTTTAACTTCATATTTTGAAGTTTACGAGGTGTTTTAGTCTATATACAACTGCTGACAAAATTATCGTAATTGCTCGGCTATTATCTTAATTCTTTCCCCTTTTTATGCTGTAATATATGATGGTCTCACTGCCAGCATAATCAATTTTTTTCTTCCTCGATTCAATGCAATTTCACACTGATACTTTGGTTTAGCTTAGTACGATCACGTTTGACACGTCCGCAAGCTATAACTGAAGTACCGTCACGCAACACATCCACAACACAATATCAACAACTTCATAATTTAAATCTCAAACCTCGTCAACTTAAATTTTTCGAAGAATACATCTGGCGGCATCTTTTGTAATATTACGGCCCATACGAGAAACGTTAAAAAATGCAAAAGTTCTGAAGCTCTTCTTTTTTTTAACTAAATAGTAATTTTAGGTGTCTAATTTTCTGCTAAATTCCATTTCTGTATTGGGAAGAGATCTTTAGTTCAAACTGCAAAACTTTTTTACATTTTTTCTGCACAATTGATTAGATCATTATGCTTAGCACAATAATTATTACCATTTCCATTCCTGCATTTAAACAATTTTAATTATTCGTTTTTTTTTTGTTCGTTTAGCGTAAGTATCTTTTATACACAGTATCGTTGGTAGTATTTACAGTATCTGAATAGAAAGTTTATAGTAACTCCATTGTTCATTTTATACGATACAGTTTAAAATATCAGTTGATATTGCATTGAGCAGTAATTCTTGCCTACCTTACACTACTTTTTTTTTTTTTTTTGTAGTCATAATGTTGCTCTTATCTTATCGTCATTATATCATTTATTTTATTGCTCGCATTTTGCTTTCTTTTGCTATTTACATTATCTTTACACATCTTTACTGTGATTAATTCTTAGTTTTTTTTTTTTTTTTGGTTTTCCTTATTTATTCTTCCTGTTTATCTTATAAAATATGAATTAATAACTACTATACGATCAGTCTAAATTGTCGGATTTTCCATTTCTTGTGGCTAATTTACGCACGATTACGATTATGAATTAAGGAGTCGGATTAGAAGAATGGAATTACGCCAACGGAATATATCACGAGATGTAGACAGTGC